GCCACCGTAAAACAATTGACAATGATAGGTATCTCTTCGAAAGTTCAAAGAATTTATCATTGTTCTCAATTACTCTTGGGATGTTCATACTTGCACTACTTCTGCTGCTTTTCATCTTAGAGAACATTGTTAGCATAATTATCTCCACTTAAAAAAAACTGAAGCAAAAATACAAAATTGACCTCTACTATCATACCCTCCAAGTTCTTGTCCGTTTGACTGATCAGTCAGTTTTATTTTGTCACAACATTCTTCTGTGTCAAACATGCTCCAGGTAAAGACAAAATGATAACCCGAAGGAGCCATGAGATTCCAGGAGCAGACCATGGAGGTTAAATAATTACCTGAAGATACAGCCATTAATGTTCCTGATGGGTTGGGTATGTCTGGAAAAAATAAAGATGACCATTTAATCACAAGGTAAGTTATTTTTACAGTAATCATTTCTGCTTATTATCTGATGGACGCGTCATTTGGAGAAACATATGTGTTGTGTTGATACTGTACCTTTATTCCCGTAACATTCTGAAGTAATAGGCGGTAGAGTGGCTGCAAAGAAAAAGAATCATATTGCTCAATTATTGACTATACGTCTCACTCGCGATTTTAGGTAAACAGAAATATAACTAAACCTTTTTATCTAGTATTAAAAGTAACAGTTTATATGAATACTTCAAATAATAAAAGGTTGTTTTTCTCCGACTATACATTATCTTTACATACGTAAGGCATTCATATTCTTTAAAAGAAACACAAAATTGGATCAGGTGACTTTCCGTGACATCCTTTCACGTGATCTTTTTACAGGCTTCGGTTTTTACCCGCGACTTTTCCGTCAACATTTTTTTTTTCTGGATAAGGTACTTTACCCTTCATCTACATAGAATAATTTTCTTAGATTTCATTTGTACATCTTGTCTAGTGACTAATTTACCAGTGATGCTGGCGTGGTTTTGACAACCACACAGTGGTCTTCTAGCCTGTGACATCATATTAGACCACAGACTTAAGGAAGAGGAAATGCAAGAATAATCTTTTCCAGCAAGATTCGTAACGCTACTCCTTGAATAATAATAATAATAATAATAATAATAATAATATAAATAGTAATAATAATAATAATATAATAATAATATAAATAGTAATAATAATAATAATAATAATAATATAAATAGTAATAATAATAATAATAATAATAATAATGATAATCATAATAACAAGAATACTAATGATAATAATAATAATAATAATAATAATAATAATAATAATAATAATAATAATAATAATAATAATAATAATACTTTAGTAGTGGCTCGAGTGACTTAAAGCTCAACAAAAAGTTGTGTAATATAATTCAGTCTGCTAGATTTCAGATACAAATTCTTATAATCATAAATGAAATCATTTAACTACTGACTACTTACTCGTCACTGTTGTAGTAGTGGGAGGTGTTGTGGTAATGGGAGGTGCTGCAGTTGTGGGAGGGGCACTTGCTGCCTCTGGCGTTGTTGGAGGGGGTGTTGAATCTGTGGTAATTTCAGCACTAGTTACCTCACTTGCTTGTACAGTCGTGACTAAGTTTGCATTTGTTGTGACTATAGCAGCGGATGTTAATGATGAGGTCGTTGAAACTTGCAGATTAGGTAGATAAGAGCTCTTGGTCCAGCAAGGAATCGTCGTACCACTAATGCCTTTAACTCCCATCTGATAAAGTTCACAGGTGTAATTCATAAAACAGACGACATTATAATCAGTCAGTGCTTCAGCTTTTTCAGCACAGGAAATGTCAGACCCGCCTGGAACAACCCGTGGAATTCCTAAGGAAGAGGCCACAAACGGGACTGTATAGAATGTCTGGCCTCTAATAATTTCGGTTATTGCTTCTCTCGGTGTTGTGAGAAATAGCCATATTAGTAATACTGCATTCACTGTGTTTTTCCATGAAGACGCCATATTTGTGTGCTCTGAAAGGTATATGAAAGTATGCTTTGTTATTGCGGTGGATAAGATGTACTTAAGATATAAAAGCTCTCAAGGATATATATTGTTCACTGCAAAAACATGCCCTTGTAGAATTTCAGGTAGAATTGTTGGGACGACTTAAATGTTGTAGTACGCCTTGTATATATGTTCAGATATAATAATAATAATAATAATAATAATAATAATAATAATAATAATAATAATAATAATAATAATAAAAGTAGTAATGTTTGTGATGATGAAGAGGAGGAGGAGGCTGAAATTTTATTTTAGGTTGGTAAATTCGAATTTGAAAGTATTGCACTGACCACAACATGCACTAACATTTAGAATAAAACTCCCTTATACTTAGTAAAGTTGATTCTCGACATAAACTATGAACTTTGTGTTAAGTATAAGCTCAGCTACTGTTTATTCCATGTTGTGCCATTATTTTACTTAGAATATCGCTAAAAGGATTTCTATTTCCATTTCAACACGAAAACCCAGTAGACAATCTTGCTCTCCAGGTTCCCGTCCTCTAAACGTTTGATTACTACAGTTCCAATCTTTAATCCTATTTTCGTTGCATAATTCCAGAGAGCGCTTCCGAATTCGGCATGACTATTTAATTGCTGAAGCAGCCAAGACCTATCACTCTTTTGTGATATATCTTTTAATTTATTATGGACAATAGAACTTTGAAATTGGTGAACCACTTTGGGACAATAACAGTAAGACTAATGGCGCCCCTCATGGTGGCCCCAGTCAGCATTTCAGGCTGTGTTAGTACGCCATGAGATGTGTGATATCCGTAGTGGGAGAGCATCTTCACTAACGTCATCTTGTTGCTTCCTTAAAAATAGTAAAAATAAGATAATTCATTTCTGGCATTGCGCAATTTTGCTGGAAAAAAAATACCCTTATATTTCACATCTTATATCTTAAATATTGGAGATTCAGTTCATTACTTAGTTGTAATTATCACACAAAGTCCGTTCGTCTCCAGCAACAAAATGAGATTGATAAACTGAGTCAAATGTAAGTGCCCTATGAATAGTGAAGATTCAAGTTGATTCGTAACTCGTTTATGGATATGGTGACCTATTGTTAGAACTAGTTGTGCTATGTGCACATAGTAGAGAGCAAGCATTCATACACATGTATTGCAATCCTATTTCTGTTTGTAATTAGCTTTTGTCTGTAAGATATGGTAAATATGTGCTATTTAATTTGCTTTATAGTGTACATCTTTATTTATGCAGATTTAAAGAGTTGATATCAATGTTATTATTATTATTATTATTATTATTATTATTATTATTATTATTATTATTATTATTATTATTATTATTATTATTATTATTATTATTATTAAACACTGTCTGCCATAGAAGGAAAATTATATTGCCTCTGTTTTTTCAAGTACTTTTTTTATTAACCCACAGAAAATTTTACTTTTTACAGCCATAAAGAATGAACTAAGAAATAGATAAATAAAACTATGAAACAAAAACCATTTGATGAGGTCTGCACGCCTTTTTATTTTTCCCACATGCATGGCGTGTACACTTTCAATATTATAGTTTTTATAACATCCTATGCCAGTGTATTTTGCGGAATGAAAAATTATATATATATATATATATATATATATATATATATATATATATATATATATATATATATATATATATATATATAGAATACGTTCATTCCTAGTATAGATTGGGAGTTGAATTAAATGCGAAAACGAAACTGTAATATGAACATAGTGGCATTCAGATAGAATGCGTTCATTCCTACTATAGCAGATATAAGCTGTAAGGTCTGATTCCCTTTTAGACCTTCTGTGGTGTAGTTGGCAGCGCCTTGGCTTAGTAACTATAAATCCTAGGTTCAAGTCCCGGTCGGCGTAAAAATAACTCATGTTTTTACTTATGGTAATGTGCTTATTTGATTATTGTGGATCCCAAATAAGATTGGGAGTTCAATTAAATGCGAATACGAAACCACGAGTGAGGTTGGAAGAAACTGTAATATGAACATAGTGGCATTCAGATAGAATGCGTTCATTCCTACTACAGCAGATATAAGCTGTAAGGTCTGTTTCCCTTTTTGACATTCTGTGGTGTAGTTGTTAGCGCCTTGGCTTAGTAACTATAAGTAATTAGGTTCAAGTCCCGGTCGGGGTAAAAATGATTCATATATATATATATATATATATATATATATATATATATATATATATATATATATATATATATATATATATATATATATATATATATGAATCATTTTTACCCCGACTGGGAATTGAAGCTAGGACTTATAGTTACTAACCCAAGGCACTACCAACTACACCACAGAATGTCTAAAAGGGAAACAGACCTTACAGCTTATATCTGCTATAGTAGGAATGAACGCATTCTATCTGAATGGCACTATGTTCACATTACAGTTTCTTCCAACCTCACTCGTGGTTTCGTATTCGCATTTAATTCAACTCCCAATCTCATTCGGGACCAACAATAATCAAATAAGCACATTACCATATGTAAAAACATGAATTATTTTTACACCGACCAGGACTTGAACCTAGGACTTATAGTTACTAAGCCAAGGCGCTACCAACTACACCACAGAAGGTCTAAAAGGGAGTCAGACTTACAGCTTATATCTGCTATACTAGGAATGAACGCATTCTATTTGAATACCACTATGTTCATATTATAGTCTCGCCAACCTCACCCGTGGCTTCCTTTTCATATTTAATTCAACTCCCAATTTCATTCGGGACCAATAATAATCAAATAAGCACATTACCATATATGAAAACATGAATCAATTTTACCTTGACCGGGACTTGAACCTAGGACTTATAGTTACTATAAGCCAAGGCACTACCAACTACACCACAGAAAACGAAACCACGAGTGGGGTTGAGGAAACTGTAATATGAATATAGTGGCATTCAGATAGAATGCGTTCATTTCTAGTATAGCAGCTATAAGTTGTAAGGTCTGTTTCCCTTTTAGACCTTCTGTGGTGTAGTTGGTAGCGCCTTGGCATTGAAACTATAAGTCCTAGGTTCAAGTCCTGGTCGGGGTAAAAATGGTTCATGTTTTCACATATTGTAATGTGTGTATTTGATAATATATATATATATATATATATATATATATATATATATATATATATATATATATATATATATATATATATATATATATATATATATATATATATATATATATATATATATATATATATATATATATATATATATAATGAGTGTGTCAACGGGATGGACCCGGACACCAAGAAAACATAAAGAAAAGAGAAACAGAAATGGAGAATGTTGTGACTTGTCAAATGTGAAGGGACAATATGAGACGTTTAGTGAATACGCCAGAATTGTAACCAATGGAATTCCTATTAAACTCCAAAACACCTTCAGGTGTCGTATCGTAACGGGCGGCTGGTGGCATGGGCCAGGCTAGTAAGATGATTCATATATGCACATATATACACACATGTATATACACATACAGACATATACAACCTACATAATCACTTGACATTCATGCTTGTGTGAAACAGCAGGTCTTCATATTTACTGATTGGTGATTAAAAAATAGTTTCTTCACCAAAAGATTAATCCGCAACGTGGGATATAATCTTTCTTTTACTGGCTTGTTTTCTAAGTAAATTTTCTCGGTGTTCGGAGTGAGCCAAATGCAAAAAAAAAGTTAGCTTTTTTTTCCAGTTATTTGCTGCTGGAAAAGTACTATATTCACATTAAAATTATTATTGTACAAAGACATGCGATCATATGCATGTGTGTTTGTGTATATGCGTGTCCCTGTGCGTGTTTGTGTATCTACAACAGCTTTACATAAAGTAATGTCTCATTATTAATTTCAAGGATGTAATGTAGACAGCTCTAGTTAAATATCCAAATCCAATATAGTCAGATGTTTATACGGAAATTGCAGCAATGATTATATAAGTTCATTTTCAAATATATGTACAAGATGCAAAAATTTCAAAAAGAATATATAAAAGAAAACTTTTAGAGATAAATGATTTCAGGAATCCCTGTGTAGTCAACAGAAGTGGTCATTCAGGGCCGGATTTAGACCTTGGAGGGCCCGGGGCACTCCAGATTTGTAGGGCCCTTCAACACATAAATTAAATGACAGGAAATTAAAAAATGAAGTAAAGTGAATGATGAACTGCATGTGTTCAGGGATTGAATACAAGATAGATTCCAAAGATGACGTCTTACTTTATATTTCTCAATTTCATTGACTGGAAGAATAAATGAATATAATTTTGAGTTCGTAAAATAGTCAATTGTGATATAAATTACAGGTGATCAGATTAGGTATCAAGTGTTGTGGTGCCTTTATTCCAATTCACATATACACATCACTGCTAACTTTTTTTTCTTTACAACTGTATGCGATAGTATTGTATTCACAGTAATTAACAGCCGAGCCAAAGAGTAATATAATTTACTTACCCCTGTTTATATTGACGATCAGCAACAAAAAATTTAAAATTAATCACATAATAATGCTTGACAGATTCCTGAAAAAAAAATTATCAAACCTTTTAACTAGGATATTTAAATTACTTTGCATAATCTTTCCAACATGCACATTCCAGATTTACAAATCACACACAATCACTCACATGCACACGCATGCATACACGCACACGTGCACACACGCAGCATATGCATTCTTATCAAATGTAAGGGTAGCCTTCAGGCACATGGACAAGGAAATCTTCAGAAATATTTATGTAACCTATGTGAGGCCAAAACTCGAATATGCAGCCCCCTTTTGGAATCCGCACTTGAAAAAGCACATAGCTAAGCTTGAAGAAATTCAAAGACATGCCACGAAACTGGTGCCAGAAATACGCAATCTCAGTTATGATGAGAGGCTGAGGGAATTAGACTTACCATCACTCGAAGCTAGAAGAGTGAGGGGGGATATGGTGACAGTCTTTAAATTCCTTCATGGTTATGATAGAGTGGATAGGGATCGATATTTTGATATGGCTGGCTCTAGAACTAGAGGTCACAGTTTGAAGCTTCGTAAGAAAACTTCTTCGCAGGATGTAAGGAAATACTTTTTCAGTGTAAGAGTAGTTGATAATTGGAATTCGCTAAGCGAGGAGGTAGTTAATGCTATCTCAATCCATACTTTTAAGGACAGGTATGATAAGTATCACTAAGTCTAAAATGGAACCGATCAGGAGACGGGAAGATACGAGCTTTGGGCTCTTTCCCGTAAACACAATTAGGTAATCACAATTAGGTAATCACACGCACACAGACATATATGTGCAATTAGACTTCGAAGGAAAGTGAAACATCTGGATAGCCAAATACTTTTGACGTTTAAAAAACATTTTCAATGATAAAGTGTTTTCGAATCGTTAAATACTTCTTTACTCAAGTATTTTATTTTCCCTCGAGGTCTAAATAATAATTTTGATTCTCCCAAGTGTGTTATATATATATATATATATATATATATATATATATATATATATATATATATATATATATATATATATATATATATATATATATATATATATATATAAATCATATTTTATCCCTGACTGGGACTCGAACATAAGACATAATTACTGTGCCAAGGTGCTGCCAACTACGCCACAGAAGGTCTAAGAAAGAAGCCAGCCTTAAAGCAAACTACTTTGCTAGGAATGAACGCATACTTTCTGAATGCGTTATTGTTCATATTATAGCTTCTCCCAACCTCACTCGTGGCTTCGTCTTCGTATTTAATTCAGATCCCAATCTTTATAGGCATCAATAATAATCAAATAAGCACATTAACATATGTGAAAGCATGAATCATATTTTATCCTTGACTGGAACTCAAACCTAAGACAGATAATTACTGTGCCAAGGCGCTACCAACTACACCACAGAAGGTCTAAGAGAGAAGCTAACTGCTCTGCTAGGAATGAATGCTTTCTCTATGAATGCCTTTTTGTTCATATTACAACTTTTCCCAACCTCCCTCGTGGCGACATTTTTCATTTAATTATAATAGCCAGTCTGTATATGCATCAACGATAATCAAATAAACACATTAACATATGTGTAAGCTTGAATCATATTTTACCCCAGACCAGGACTCGAACCTAAATTGATGCCTATATAGATAAGGATTTGAATTAAATGCGAAAATGATGCTATGAGTGAGGTTGGGAGAAGTAGTAATATGAACAATAAGATATTCATAAAAAAATGCCTTTATTCATAGCAAAGCAGGTAGCCTTGAGTTTGGCTTTTTTCATAAGACCTTCTGTGGTATAGTTGGTACCACTTGGCCCAGTAATCATGTGTTTTAGGCTCGAGTCATGGTCAGGGATAAAATATAAGTCATGCTTTCACATATGTTTATTTGATTATTATTGATGCCTATATAGATTGGGATTTTAATTAAATGTGAAAAACGAAGCAAAGAGTGAGGTTGGGAGAAGCTGTAATATGAACAAAAAAGCATTCATAAAGCAGCTATATTTGAAGTTTGCTTCTTTCTTAGACCTTCTGTGGTGTATTTGGTAGTGTCTTGGCATAGTAAATATGTGTCTTGGGTTCAATTCCCGTCAGGGGTAAAATATGATTCATGCTATCACATATGTTAATGTGTTATTTTGATATATATATATATATATATATATATATATATATATATATATATATATATATATATATATATATATATATATATATATAGATATGGCACCAGCCGCCCATTAAAAGACTACGACTGACAGTATTAGGATGCAACTAGGACTGGTCCAGACAGTTCCGGGTTGAGTCTTCCTTCAGGACAGTTCTTTCCTTATGCCTACATCTACACTGAATATTCTAGTGTATTCGTTACACATCTCTTTCTATTCCATTACATTTGACAAGTCACAACATTCCCCACATCTGTCTCTTTATTTCTCTTTTTTTTCCTTACATTTTTTATTACTTATGGAAGGTCCACAGCTAATGGCCCCCAGTACCCGGCATACAGGGGTACGAAGAATCTCCTGGGTTCGTGTTGACTCCACTATTGGCTTGAGGGGAGACACGCCTGGTGGTAGTAATGGTTCTGCCCTTAACCTTGCACCTCCCAATAGATCTGCTTCTTTCACTCTCCACTATTCTAACATTCGTTGGCTGAACTCTAATCTTTCGTCTGTGGAACAGCACTTGGGTGCTTTCCTCCCTAACCTCCTCCTCCTCTCTGAAACCCAGCTGTCTATACATGCTTCCACTGACCCATTTCAAATCTCTCACTATAATCTGTATACTTGTTTTCGTTCCAAAGGTGGGGTCTGTGTCTACTGCAACACTAACACTCCTACTGCAAGGCTCATGGACCTTGAATCTCCCGACTTTGATATTCTCTGGCTAAAAGTCTATCTCTCCAATACCACTATCTTCCTTTGTTTCTGCTACTGTTCTCCAAATTCCACTGAGTTTGTCTTTCTTTGAATTTTTGTCCTCGTGCCATGAGTCCTTGCTATCTTCTCACCCACATGCCGAAGTTCTTTACATTGAAGACTTCAATGTACACTACAGTGAGTGCCTTCTTTCTTCTCACACTGATGTGGGAAGAAATGAGGCCCTTGCTTTCTCTATTACTCGCAATCTGGAGCAAATTATCAAACATCCTACTCGTGTTCCTGATCGTCACAAACATGCAGCAAACACTCTTGACCTATTCTTCACTTCTAACCCTTCAAACTACTCTTATTCTGTGCTTTCCCCTCTGGTAAATCTGACCACTCTGTGATTTCAATTTTTTCCATTTTTGCTCTCACTCCACCAATTCCTCCTACTAAGTGCCGCCTTTGGTACTTTGAGTGTACCCAACAAGAAAACTTGCGAAACTTCCTTATTGACTTCCCATGGGATGACTTCTGCTTTCAGTCCTGCAACCCGGAAAAGGTAGCTCTAAAAGTTGCCGAGATCATAACCACAGAAATGGAGGCGTACATCCCCTCTTCTGCAAAAATTTTCTCTCCCCCTAAACCTTGGTTTAACCGTGCCTGCTCCATGG